CTCCGCTCTTCTCCCTTCATGGTCCCAGGGACTTCTGTTCTTAGGCTGAAAAGTTAATCACTCCCTTCCTTGCTAAAAAACATCTACCTTTACAATTCCAACCCTCACAAGCAGTCCAGATAACAATTATTCACTATTGTATCACGAGATCCATCCGGATTTCATTTCATCAGCCCCGCCTAGGCAGATTGGATACTACTCAGTGGAGATTCTACCTTCCTCCATGCCTTATGGATCTAGCTTCCCTCTTGAAAGTTTGTAAGCCAGTCACTTCTTGCCTTTGTAGCCCCTCCATTTTGGGTAGCTAATGTCCAAGTTGCCCATCCCTGTCTACTCTGTGTATGGAGGGGGTGGGAAATTAGAGCTTTTCTACTGTCTCTTCCCATAGATGCAGTCCGCTTGATTCCTGTTGGTCCTTCTGCTGAGGCCCGCATACATAGTATCAGTTCATATTGTTGGAAAATGGTATTTGCAATGAGTAAATCATTTTTCTTGCAAAATTCTATCATGCAATCTCCAGTATCATTTTTCTCCCCGAGGCCATATTTTTCAACTACTGATCTTTCCTCTTTGTTTCCAACATTCTCATTCCAACCACCAGTAATTAGTCAATGCGTCTTGATTGCTGTTGCTCAGACTTGCGTTGAAACTCCTCTTCTGAAACCACCTTTAGGACTTGTAGCTCTTTTCTTTTCACTACTCCATTAGGAATCCAGCTGTGAGCCGCAAGGTCAGCAGTTTGAAACTACCAGCTGTTCCGCGGGAGAAAGATGAGGCTTTCTACTCCCGTAAAGATTTACAGCCTCGGAAACCCTGTACAGGTTGCTATGAGTCTGAACCGACTCCACGGCACATAACAACAGCAACAGCAGTAGTTTGTTGAGGTGGATGTGTTTTGGAAATAGTGAATGGCCACTCTGAATGAAGTGATTATGTTGAAAACTTGAAATGTGTGGGTCTCTAGGAGATTGCAGATATGCTGCGCATTGTAACTAAGCGAGATAAGTATAAGTTTCAGAGTAGTGTTTGAAGGACAGTTCTTGTTTATATACAAGCTCCAGTGTGTTGATAGAATACTGAGACTCATTAAAAGTTTACAACTTATTTGCTACAGATGAGTAATTGTTGGGTTAGGGACAAGGTAGATCTTGCCTCATTACCATGTTCCCGTTACTTCCAGCTGTGATGTTGGTCTGTCTTTACAGCCCCGTGTCTTGTAATTATTGCGTAAATAAAAACACCACACTAGTTGTAGTCAAGTCAATTCCAACTCATGGTGCCCGTGTGTGTCAGAGTAGAACTGTGCCCACAGGGTTCTCAATGGATGAGTTTTCATAAGTAGATTCCATCATGGCGCCCCTGTGTGTGTCAGAGGAGAACTGTGCCCACAGGGTTCTCAGTGGATGATGTTTCATAAGTAGATTCCACTCATGGTGCCCCGTGTGTGTCAGAGTAGAACTGTGCCCACAGGGTTCTCAGTGGATGGTTTTTCGTAAGTAAATTACCAGGCCTTTCTTTCAAGCCTCAGGGTAAACTCGACCCTGTGACCCTTTGAGTGTGTTAGCTGCACTTCCCAGGGACTCCAGTTTTTGTCTTTCCAAAATGTTGAAGCACTAAGGGCCGAGTTTTGTTCATCAGGGTGTGATTGCTCAGGTGGGGAAACAAGCAGCCAGTTGGGAAAACCATTAAGATTGGCCTGTTGAGATCCAGGCTGTGGGAACTAGCTTGCATGCATTTGGAGCATTCTTAGGGAACAGATAAACAGCGCCGAGGCAGCATGCTAACCTCTCATCCTGCTGGTCCACAAAGTTACTCCTGGTGTCGGATTTGTCCTCCATCAGCAAACGGGTAAGGCCAGAGTGACAGAAACCTTTTTGTCTCCTGACCACTTGGGTGGGGGGTGGTGATGCTTTCCTTAGCCTTGGATTGGAGGTGTTGAGCTCCCTAGTTAGGTTATTAGGAATCGGAAAAGCGGGAACAGTCTTCTGGCAGAAATTAGTAATTAATGAAAGGCTCCCCTGAAATTGCTCACCTTTTATGTTAACATCTCTTTTTAAGAAAAACACTTTATTGTATTTAAAGGGAGAGTTTGTATAGCAAAGCAGGTTCCCATTTGACAATTTCAGCACACACTATTCAGCGAAAGTGGCTCCATTTTCCACAGTGTGTCCCCATCCTTCTCAGTCAGTCCATTCTGGTTGTACCATTTCCAGTACTCCAGCTTCCCTGCCCTCTTACCTTCTCATCTTTGCTTCACAGTAGTTGGACTATTTTTGAGTTATGTTAATATCTTACTGGCTTGTGCCTCCCTTGTGCTGTCCAGAACTCTCGGGGACATAGCATTGTGGCATGTTAGAAACATGACAGAGCCAGCTGGAAACCCCCTACCCACACAGCTCTTCTCCCAGATGCCAGTCGGTAACCTCTTGGAGTCTGGTTTAAGAAGGAGCGCTTTGATAGTGCCACACAGAATTCACACAAGGGAAGGGGGTGACCAGCCCTCTGCAGCTGCCAGAGAGCATTTGCTATGGTATCTAGGGTGCCTGCTGTTCAGTCCATATGTGGACTCCTGGGATATTTACACATGTGCTCCCAGTGTCACCTCAGAAGCTGCAGGCATGCAGTCAGATGGGCTGGGATGAGGAGGTGCCCTCTCCCTTGAGGTTGAAGGGACAGTTCTTACAGGATTTCGATGTGGCACTTTCTTTGGGACAAAGTTTCACCTTGACTGTGATTAAATGTGGGCTCTACGGCCTTCCCCTAAGACATCTGCCTTGCTTATCCTTTCATCCCCATCAGCTGTCCATCCAAAAGGAACGTCTTCATTACTTTCAAGGTGAGCCCAGTTGTTTGAGCCTACCAAAACCGAGCACGAACTGGAGATTCTGTTAAAATTAAAGCAGAGAGTATCTGGAAGGAACAGAGATCAGATCAGGCAGCACTCTGATCCAAAAGGAAGTTGTCACAATGAAAGTACAGAAAACCCTCCAGGAACTTGGCAGACACAAACATTCTGATGGGTTAAAATCTACAGACTTGTGTTTTAATAGACACCAGACAATTTCAAGCTCCCTTCTGAGCATCATCTTGTTGAGCACAAAGTTTGAGTCAGTTTGACTTTGGGTATTTTGGGCCCGCCTGAGTGAGTGCTTTTCCTGGGAGCATGCTGTGAGGAACTGCAGCCTTCCTGAGCCCGCGGACTCTGCGACATGGAAAGTCAGCTCAGGATAAAGCGTTAGCAGCAAAGATGGAGTCTAACCTGCAGCTTTGGCAGAAGCCTCGCTCCTTATGCCAAGTGCCTGGATTTTCAAAATTTCTTTACATAACCATTACTGTCAAGTCGATTCAGACTCACAGCCACCCTGCCTACAGTGTCAACTTCCCAAAGCCCTGAATTGTTCTGGAGATAGATTGCCACAGCTTTCTTCCGCAGAACAGCTTATAGATTTAACTACAGACTAAGCACTGTGCTAGGATTCCTTGCTCTCCCTCCAAAAAAACAAAAACAAAAATCCCCACTGCTATCAAGTTGGTTCTGACTCATAGTGTCCTTATAGGACAGGCCTCCTCGATGGCACTTAGCAGGCTGTCTGCCACATGAGGCTCCCAGGGTACCGACCTTTCGGTTAGCAGGCCAACATTTTACCGCTGTGGTGACGGCAGTGAAGTCGAAGTTCACGCGGGTTCTCCTTGACATTCACAGGAAAAGTGCTTCTGCCGCTCGCCAGACCTGGGTCTGAAATTCCTGCTTAGCCCCAGCAGGCATTGTCAACCTCTAACCTGGGTCCCCGCGGTGACGTCTGCTTCATGTGCCACCCCAGTGACCGTATACAGGAAATGCAGGCATGGGCTATTGGGAAAGGAGGTGTAGTGAGTTTGCTGTGCTGTGGATGTTGAATTTGCACAACTACAGCATAAAACTGACTTGTTCGCGTCCTTAGTGTTTCCTTGTGTTCACATGATGCTGCCATAATGCAGTCTGATGATGAGATAAGGAGTTAGGTTGTTAGGTGCCATCGAGTCAGTACCGACTCATAACAACCTCTTATGCACAACAGAATGAAACTGCCCGGTCCTGGGCCAACCTCACAATTGTTGCTATGCTTGAGCTCCTTGCTGCTGTCACTGTGCTAACCCATTTTATTGGGGTCTTCCTCTCTTACTCTGACCCTCCACTTTACCAAGCATGAGGTCCTTCTCCCGGGACCGGTTCCTCCTGACAATACATCCAAACTATGACATGTGAAGTCTGGCCATCCGAGCTCCCAAGGAGGATTCTGCCTGTATTTGTTCCAATACAGATTGTTTTTTTCTTTTGGCAGTCCATGGTACTTTTAATATTCTCCTCCAGCACCGTAACTCAGATGCATCAATTCTTCTTTGGTCTTCCCTATTCACTGTCCAGCTTTCATATGCTTATGAGGTTATAGAAAATAAATTGGCTTGAGTTAGGTGCACCTTAGTCCTCTAACGGACGTCTTTGCTCTTGAACACTTTAAAGAGGTCTTGAGCAGCAGATTGGCCTAATGCATACATCGTTTGATTTCTCGACTGCTGCATTCATGAGTGTGGATGGTTGATCTGAGCAAAATGAAGTCTTTGACAATTTTAATCCCCTCTCCATTTGTTGTTCTTGTTAAGTGCCATTGAGTCTGTTCTGTTTCATAGCGACCCTATAAATATATATAGGGTTTCCAAGGAGTGGTTGGTGGGTCTGAACTGCCGACCTTGCATTTAGCAGTCCAGAACTTAATCTATAGTGCCACACCAGGACTCCATTTATCTTGATGTTATTCATGGGTCCAGTGGTGAGGATTTTTGTTTTCTTTGCATTGAGGTGCAAACCATAATGAATGCTGTGCTGTAGAGTTTGATCTTCATCAGTAGGTATTTTAAGCCCTCTGGTGATGAATGATAACCTCTGGTAAATTTGCTGATATTGAGATACTTCCTAGGGGTTATTGCAGGAATCCTAAGACCCAGACTTTGAACTCTTTCAGAGATGTGAACACCGCAGTCATGGAATTACTGATCATGGCTTATGCGCTGAAGACAGCCTGTGCCCGGAATATTATTGGCGTCATCCCTTACTTCCCCTACAGCAAGCAGAGCAAGATGAGGAAGAGAGGGTCCATAGTGTGCAAGCTCCTGGCCTCTATGCTGGCAAAAGCAGGTGAGTGTCCACAGAGACCTGGACGGCCTTCTTGTTTGGGGTTACGTCATACATACCTCAGGTGTCTGTCTAGTGTGGGACTTTCCTATTGAACTGGTGTTCGCTTTCTTGTTGGTTTCCTTCTGCTTACAGTTGAGAACTTGGGAAATAAGTTCTTTTTTTTTTTTTTTTCTCCCTTTGTCTGTTTAGAAGACAGTGTCTGAATCAGTGTTTTCTACTCTTTAAAGCAGACCTTTTCGTCATCTTAGCACGTTTGCTTTCCTCTTTTATCATTAAAATCTTGGCTGGGGCTCTTAGTGTTCTTATGGGGTCTTTTCAGCTTCCTAGCTATATGTATGCATTTGCCTTAGTTAGAAATGCATAGCATAGCAACAATTGTGAGGCTGGCCCAGGACTGGACAGTGTTTCATTCTGTTGTGCATAAGGTTGCTATGAGTCGGTACCTACTCGATGGCCCCTAACAACCTAACAACTATTCATTAGACTGCACTATGGCAGCATCTGCTTGTCTTTATTGTTGTTAAGTGCCGTCGAGCTGGTTCCGACTCATTGCCATCCTGGAGTTTCCTAGAACCTGTGACCTAGCGTGCTTCAACCCTACCTTTCAGTAAAACGCATTAACCCACAGTTCCACATCAGGCCTCTTCTAATGGTGTATATTTCCTGGTCTGTAAATACAAATGCGGTGACGTTTCATAGTAAGTTTTTTATGTGTCTGATGCTTATGTATTTGTGTCTGCAGAAAGAAACTTAACTTGAATTCCATTCACTCAACTAAGGTTCAGGTCATACTGGTTCTTTGTTCTGGAAGTCTTGACAACAATGTTTGGGCTAGTTGCCATGTGTCGATACATGTACTTTGGTTTAGCACTGCTGATGATGAGTCATCATCAGTATTACTATATAAGAATTACCTCTCTTCCCATTCTTTTTCACATACAGAAGTTGTTCCAAACTCTTCCAACATCTGTGTTAGGTGACTTTCCTTCTGTGCCCATTACTCGGTTGCCTTCTCCTTTCTCTCATGTTGTCCCCACAGCCCTTTAACATTTCTTTCTCCCTACAGTCTCGAATCAAGGCCCTGCTCTTTTTCACATCAGGCGTTGCTTTGGGATTTTAGTAATTCCATAGTCAGATGTTTGCTTTTAACTACTTAGACTCTGCTCAGTTTTCAGGACCAAACTAGAGATGGTCATGGAAAGGTGAACACTTTGCTCTCTCTGTCCCTGTGGGAGGTGCCATCAAGCTCGCCATATTCTGTAGTCCAGTGAGTTTCATTCAGGTTGAAACATGTGCTTCCTCACAACATCCCTGCCTTCATCCTTCTGTTAGGAGACCAGACCAGGCAGCTAGTGTGCATCCACTGTAGCCTTGCATGTGCAGGGGTGAACTTTGTGATTTTTTTGTTTTAAAATTTCAGGTTTAACTCACATTATCACTATGGACCTACATCAAAAGGAAATACAAGGCTTTTTCAGCTTCCCAGTGGACAACCTCCGCGCCTCCCCTTTCCTGCTTCAGTATATCCAGGAAGAAGTGAGGAGCCGCCGGCAAGCACCGTTGTCCTCTAACGAGGCCCTATATATATATATATTTCCCTCTGGCATCAGAGCTCAGAACTGGAAGGCACAGCCTTCCCCTGTGGTCCTGAACGCTGCCTAGTCGGAGGCAGTCAGATGCAGCCGGCAGGGAGTCAGCGAGGACTGCGTTTTTGTTGAAAAGCATTGAAAAATAGATTTCCTTTTACGTACAGTTAGCAACTTGCTAAGATGTTTTAAGCATTAATCTTCTGGCTGTGGCAGTACATTTTGCCAGGCTGTTTATTGATAAATGTAGAGAATTTTAAATTGGGTGAATGAAATTCTAGCGTAATTTGGTTGTGGTTGTAAGAGGGAAAGAAAACAATCATCCTTGCATCCAGATGTTATTTTTGATAACCTTTTCAGTGTTTGCTTATTTTCCCTCCAAATCTAGATTCCCAATTACAGGAACGCAGTCATTGTAGCCAAGTCTCCTGATGCTGCAAAAAGGTAAATAGCCGGGTGTTGATTTAAAAAAGAAAATTTGTGAAGTCAGAACGCGCTGTTTTGGAGTTGAGGCCCCTCCCCCGTGTCAGCACACACAGAGAATTCTGTCCCTGGTCTCTGACCCTGGACCACTTACTGTCGTCGTCGTCTGGTAGAAAATGAAGTTCTTCTTCCCTGAAGGCCTCAGGAAAAGGAAAACAAGAGGGCAGACAGCCTTTTCCAGGTGGTTGTTTTTGCTTGGGGTAGAAATGTATACGGAATGTAACATTGGCACTCATTGCCTTTGGAAGCGCCCAGTGCAGTGACGTTCCCCATGTGTCCATCATGTGTCCATCATGTGTCCGTTTCCAAACGCTGGCGTCCCCTTTCACAGAAATGCCCCGTCCGTTGGCACTTACTGTCCTCTTCCCCTTGCCGTACATGCTGGTCTCCACGCTTTTGCCCATTCTGGGGTTGTTCATACAAGTAGATCATACTTTAGACCCCTTTCTGAACAACATTCTGTCTTCCAGTGATGGCTGAGAATAGTGGACACAGGATAGAAATAAATTTAGAATTGGATAGTAGCCCAGACTCCACTTATATTCTGACCTGGCCCTCCCGTTGTGATTGGAGTGTCCCCCTGGAAAGGCTGAATGATGTCTGTGTTTTATGATATCAATGCGATGAAATCCTGGTACTTGGGTCACGGTGTCCCCTCCGTCTTCCTCCCAGGGCCCAGTCTTATGCGGAGAGGCTGCGTCTGGGCTTGGCCGTCATCCACGGGGAAGCCCAGTGCACGGAGCTGGACATGGACGACGGCAGACACTCCCCACCGATGGTCAGGAACGCCACGGTGCACCCGGGCCTGGAGCTGCCACGTGAGACCAGCTCTTTTGTTCTATTGTTGAATCGTAGGCAACTGTAAGCAGCGTGTTAGAGCCTGTGTGGACGTTGGCTGTGGGGCCGTTTTTAAGTAATCGGATGGCATCGCATCTGTGCCCGCTTGTAAAAGGACTGTAGCCGCACATACATTTGGTGCTGTATACAGAATCAAACAAAAAACGAAACCGCAGGTGTGGAGTCAGTTTGGACTCATGAGAGTCTCACGTTAGAGCATGGGGCTGCTCCGCAGGGGATCCTTGGCTGTCATCGTAGCACCAGTGGGTGGGTGGGTGTGAGCCACTAGCCTTAGGTTAGTAGTTATGTGCAGACTGTTCACAACACCACCTAGGGGTCTGTGATGGCAGCTGAGCTAACTTGGGTGGCGTTTAGCATGCAGAGAATATTAGATAACTTCAGCAAACAAACTGTCCATGCAGTGGTGTGAAATTGAAGCCTTCCTCTGATTGCCTGGCTGAGACCCCTGCTGGCCACAATTGTGTCAGACGTCGGCATAGACTGACAGAGCGAACCTGTGAGGGCTGGAATCGGTTCAGAGTTTTCTGAACAAGCTGGAGATGGACCCGAGTCTTCCTTTCCTGAGGGCTTCCCTTCTACCTTCCACAGGTTCCAGTGTTCACAGGTCGGACTGGTGACAACGCCCTTGCTTTTCTTAGTCCAGCAGCACAGAGCCTGCTTACTTCACAGACTGCTGAGTGGCCCTGGTTAGCAGTCCCTTCCCTGGCAAATGTGCTAGGCTTTGTTGAGGAAGGAGATTATTTCCTTTCATAATTTATCTATTTGCCATTCCTCAAAAACGAGCACAGATTAATACTTAGGTTACTTCAGACCTCCTCCTGTCCGAAGTCTCACCCTCTGTCTTTGACCTTGTCTTTGATGTTGGGGATTTTCGTACCTGAGAAATAAGCAGTATGCTCCCTTTTCATATACAAAATTGTTGAGTCATTTATTGAGTTGTGTTGGCAGTCCGTCCACACTGCAGAACCAGCTTCTCCACAGTGAGATGCATACTTCCTACTGCTGCGCTCAGACACAGGCCGGACATTTTCAGTGTTTGGTGATGGCTTCATAATGGAAGGTCATAACCAACGCCTCTTGTTGTTGTGAAGTGCCATCAAATTGATTCTGACCCTTAGCAACCCTGTATAGGGTTTCCAAGGAGCAGCTGGTGAGCTTGAACCACCAACCTTGCAGTTTAAATGACTTTGCAGTCTGACACATTAGCCCACAGCGTCACACAAGGGCACACATTCACTTACTTCAAGAGTCATCAAGTCTAGGAGCTTCCCAGTGGGCAGCCACTCCCGAGGCTCTGCGGATCTTCCGCAGGGCTGATTTTCCTGTGTATCCACTGGGAGGCCTCTAGGCACAGATGAGCATATATCTGTTTCTTTCCTCTCATTTTCCCACAAGAGGGAGCATAGGACACACATTGTTCTGCCTGCCCCTTGCCTGATTTTTACTCAGTAGCTTTCCTTTTGAATAGATAAAGATGTTTCAGTCTTTTTCACAGTTTCATGGTACAGACATCAACGTGCAGCTGCAACTTGCTCTTTAAAACCTAGGGTTTCAAACTGGTTTCTGTCATGGCGACGAAGCAAACCCGGAACAGACCAGAGATTTTACAGTTTGGGTGATCTGTCATGAGGACTAGAGCAGATGGAATTATGGGTTGAAGCCCTGGATGAGGAGGTTCCTAGGAGCCCTTTCATCCTGATTCAGGAGACTGGGTCATTGGCAGGACAGTGGGGAGCGATTCAAAGTGGAGTGATTGGCAGCCGCCACCCTTGAAGCCCTGTTTAGTGTTATGTAAAATTTTCCTTATTATGAAAGTGTTAAGCAGTTAAACCCCTACTTGCGATATATTGTTCATCACAATCACCTTCAGTTGCTGCACACACAGCTTTTAAATCATTGAAAGACTTCTAGTCTTTTCTTTTACTAAAACCCAATGTAACCTACTGCTCTCAAGTCATTCCCACTCCTAGGGACCCTACAAGACAGAGGGAAACTGCTCCTTAGGGTTTCTGAGGCTATAGGTCTTTATATGGGAGTAGATGGCCTCATCTTTCTCCTGTGGAGTGACTGGTGGATTTGAACCACCCACCTTTCAGTTTGTAGCCCAGCACTTAAACCCAGTAAGACTAGATCAAACTGCACCCGCTCCTTCTGACATACAAATTCTTAAAGCCATGGTAACAGATTTCATTTGGAACCTAGAGTTGTGTGTGTTCTGATTTATGGCAATGCCTTAATTTAACCAGGCCCCTCTTGAAAAATAGGGCCTTTTCCCATCTTGGGCCATGAAAAAACCAAGCTCCGATATTCATAAACATATTTCGAGCCCTTATTACATGCCAGGAGTGGTTCTGAGCACTCAGTGTGTGTTGTCACATCTTGTTCTTACTTAGCCTGTGTGCAGGTTTCGTGTGTTAGCCCTCATTCTGCTGCTGTGAGGAAATATAGGGTCAGGCTGCTGGGCTGTTACTTAGTTTTGTGTTTTTAAAATAATGTCAGAGAAAGGCTGAAAGAATGCTACAGAATTTCACCATGCCTGTCACTCAGTCCCCAGTATAATGATACATGCCCACGTTTACTTTATTGTTCTTGAGATTTATGTATAAATAGACTGTCTTCTTGTAAACCATTTGACAATGCGTTGCAAGCTTGTTCCTTTCTTCCTAAATACTCCAGCATACAATATTTTTACATAAATCACACTTGCATAACCCATCTGTTGGTTAGTTTCCCATGCACATTTTGTGCCTTATATGTATGGGTGTATTCTGTGCAGAAAAAAATGCTGTCTTTCTTAACCACAGCAGGATTTTCAGACTTGGGAAGCAAACACTGTTACAGCGTTGTTGTTAAGTGTGTTAAGTCAGTTCCGGCTCAGAACTACCCTGGATAGGGTTTCCGAGGAGGACTGGTGACTGAACTGCTGACCTTATGATCCAGTGTTTACCCTACAGGTCACACCAGGACTCTGTTGTTAACAATACTACCAGATAATTTCCATTATCTTTTCATGCCATTTGTCTAAGAACTTTTTGAAGCCTCAGTGTAGTATCTAATCTGCTGATCTTATTCAGTTATTCAATTTCCACCTTTGTTCTTAAGTAAAAGGAAAAAAAATTTACAGTCCCCGATTGAGCCCAAGATTAAGCATTGCATTTCGTTGTCTCTCTTTGGTTTCCTTTAGTTCCTCTGCTCTGTGTGTGATCTGCCCTTCATAGTTTAGAGGAATGCAGAATGCAGGCCAGCTGTTTTGTAGACTAACCCTTAATTGGCATTTGTTTGGTTTTTCTGTGTTCCGCTTAAGCAATTTTGGCAGGAATTATCAGGAAACACGTGATGTGTCCCATAATTAATATGTCTCATAATTAATGTACGAGTTTCCCCTTCTCCTTTTGTTTATTCCTTTATCTCGTTATGGATTAACCCAGTCTTCCTTCTTTCAGAGGGCTAAAGCCATAACTGGTTGTACCTTTTAGAAGTATTTTATGCATTATTTGTTTGTGTGTCTTAGGTGAACGTTTACCCAGCATGTTAGGGCCCTATTTGTTGTTGTTGTTAAGTGCCGTCAAGTTTGTTCCAATTCATAGCGACCCCGTATAGGGTTTCTGAGGAGCAGCTGGTGAGTTTGAACCGCCAACTGTGAAGTCGAGTGCTTATCGTATAGTATACACCAGGATTCCAGGCCCCGGTTTACCCATTTACTGCAGGTGGTGCCGTAACATTGGTCGGTTTTCCCAGCACGTCAGCATTCTCACCCCGCTTCCTGTCTCTGTTTCCAGTGATCTAGCTTCCCGCCCTTTCTGCCTTCACAGCTTTGCTTTTGGTCTCATGTACAAGGAGGCGTCAACAAATTTGTAGAAAAATGGAATTAAAAGACAGGAAGCTTTTCTTTCTTTTTTCTTTTTTTTTTAAGCTTTTATTGTGAATGATGTGGTAGTTTTCATGGGAGAACATTAGTTTAGTACTCACCCTATCATATTTCGTCTCACTCCTGGGCGTTCCAAGCCAATCTGAAAGGTGACTTTCAGAAAATAGCTTCAGTTCTAAGTTCAAAAATTATCTGGGGTGTTAGTCTGGGTGGGGGCAGTACCCTAACTCCCCCGGTCCTCTTTTGCCCTGTGTGTTAGCAGGGAGGGTTTGATTGGCCCACTCCAGGAAAAGAGTAATAAATGTGTGTGTACCTCTTGTCACCCAGGGATGGTCGTACATTCAGCAGTATTTTACATGGAAAAGGCGAACTTTGAAAGCGAAAGGCAGCTTCCTACTTGACATAGATGAGTGAGTGCCTCCAGTGCTGCATCGTTTTTTGGAAGATTGCAGTTTATGGTCCATCAATTCCTAGAGCCTTGTTGTTCACCAACGCCTTCAGTGCACCTCAGACTCCTTCCTTTATCTTGATCATATGCTACCTCTTGAAATAGTTGAACATTGTCCATTTCTTTTGAGTACAGTGACTTTGTAATCCTTTCATCTTCTTTTGATTCTTTCTGCGTCAATATTTTGCCCAAAAAATCTTTCAATACTGCAAGTCGAGGCTTGAATTTTTTTCTTCAGTTCTTTCAGCTTGAGAAGTGCAGAGTGTTTGCACATTTCATGATAATACTTGACTTTGTCTTCCTGAGCTTGTCCTTTGAAATTCTCTGTTCAGCTCTTTCATCTCCTCATTTCTTCCATTTGCTTTAGCATCTCTACACTGGAGAGCAAGTTTCAGAATCTCTTCTGACATCCATTTTGGCCTTTTTCTTCTTTCTTGTCTTCTTAATGCCCTTTTGCTTTCTTCCGGTATGATGTTCTTGACATCTTCCCACAACTCCTCTCTTCTCCTGTCATTAGTGTCTAATGTGTCAAAGTTGTTCATGAGATGCTCTCTAAATTCAGGTGGGATTTATTCAAGGTCGTATTTTGGCTCTCGTGGACTTATTTTCATTTTCTTCAGCTTCAGCCTGAGTTTGCATATGAGCAATTAATGGTCTGTTCCCTAGTCTTGTTTTGGCTGATGATGATATGAAGCTTTTCCATCGTCTCTTTCCACAGATGTAGTCGGTTTGATTTCTGTGTATTCCATCTGGTGAGGTCTATGCGTTTAATTGTCTTTTATGTTCAAAAATGGTATTTGCAGTAAACAAGTCATTGGTCGTGCAAAATTCTATCATGCCATTTCCGTCATCGTTTTTATCACCAAGGCCATATTTTCCAATTATTTGATCCATTCTCTTTGTTTCAAACCTTTGCATTCCAACCACCAGTAATTATCAATAAACCTTGAATCAATTTCAGATGGAAGAAGTTGGTAGAATTTTTAAATTTCATCATCACTGGCTTTAGTGGTTGGTACATTAATATGAATAATGGCTGTATTAAGTGGTCCTTTGTAGGCCTCTGGATATTGTCCTATCACAGACAGCATTGTAGTTCAAGATCTTGACATGTTCTTTTTGATGATGAATGAAATGCTATTCATGCTCTTCAGTGTCATTCCCAGCATAGTAAACCGTATGATTGTCAGATTTAAATGGCCCAATACCAGTCCATTTCAGCTCACTAATGCCTAGGAGATCGATATTTATGCGTTCCTTTCATTTTTGACAACTGCTGTTTTTCCTAAATTCATACTTCATGCATTCCATGTTCCAGTTATTAATGGATGTTTACAGCTGTTTCTCTTCATTGTGAGTTGTGCCCCATCAGCCGGTGAAGACCCTACAAGCTTTACTCTTTTATGTCGTCACGGCCCCCTCGCCTCTAACAGCTCTTCCCCAGTTGTAGTTTGAATGCCTTCCCACCTATGAGGCTCGTCTTGTGGCGCTGCATCTGGCAGTATTCTAGTGCTTGTTCTTGGGGGGGAGCTTAACACGGAGAAGTAGTCTGCCTCTGCATCCTGGTCTGTCTTCACCTGGAAGCTCTGTCCACCATGGGAGACCCTCCTGGTAGTTAAAATATTGGGGGCATAGCTTCCAGCATCACAGCAACACACAAACCACCACAGTACAATAAACTGACAGACGAGTGCTGGTAATTCCCAGATAAGCATGGAAAAAATAATGTAAAAGATCTCCTTAATAAGATTTTGAAGATACCGGGTAGGAGAGAAGTACGTGGATTTGCCCTGGTTTTGTGATTTCATGTTGCTAACAGAAGGTGGCCTGTGTGGCTCGCACTCGTCTTTCAGGCCTGGGCTCCCGCGAGGGCTGCTCGGTCCTGTCCGTAGTGTCTTTTCTGCTTCAGAAGCGCCGGTTGCTCCTGTGGTCTTCTGGTGACGTGCAGCTAACTGGAGCCGTGTGCTTTGTTTTCCAGTGATGATGGCTAAAGAGAAGCCCCCCATCACGGTGGTTGGAGACGTTGGCGGACGCATTGCTATCATTGTGGTATGGTTACGTGTCATCCTCCCAGGCTGTCCTTGTGGGGTTGGTTCAGTAACAGTGACCAGCAAACTTTTGTTTGTTTGTTCATCGACAGGCACGGATTAAAATGTAACTGACAGATATAAAATAGCCGTGTCTCCCATCAGGAAATTCTTCCCCACTGCCTTTGTCTGTCTCACGGGTGCCAGGTTCTCACAAAACCCACTAACTAAGCAGCCTTAAGGCAGGGCCACATGGTTCCTGGGAGACAACCCTTCTCTCTTGGCTTGTGAGCTTGCCTGTCCCAGTGCAGGCTCCATTTATACTTGCTGTTGTTGTTAAGTGACATCGGGTCGGTTCCGACCCATAGAGACCCTATATAGGGTTTCCGAGGAGCAGCTGGTGAACTTGTACTGCTGACCTTGCAGTTCAGACGGCTTTACAGTCTGGTGCATGAAAACACAGCACCACACCAGGACTGCCTTTGTACTAGACAGGATGGATTTGCTTCCGGCTCCAAGTGGCTCTGCTGGGCACTGTGCCCTCTAGTTCTGTTTTCCATTCTCTTCAGGGTGGAGGGAGGCGGCAAATAATGGCGGTGCCAGGTTAATGAAAAAGGTGAAATGAGGAAATGTGCCCTGCGATCCTGAACACCAACCACACAGGTCACCCACACCCGCCCCAAAGGCACTGTTGCTCTCTGTTCGGACAGCCACATGAGACAACGCTGCACTCCTCTGATCTCTGCTTCTGGACGTTCAGTCTTGGGCCCAGAAGGGCAGAGAGAAACAGAGAGCCGTCTCTGTGTGTGTGTGTGTGTGTGTGTGTCTAGGATGGGGGCAGGGGAGTGCAGACCTCCACTCTCCACCTGGTTCTCCTCTCAGGATGACATCATTGATGACGTGGAAGGCTTTGTGGCTGCTGCGGAGATCCTGAAAGAAAGAGGCGCTTATAAGATCTACGTCATGGCCACACATGGCATCCTGTCCGCAGACGCCCCGCTCCTGATCGAGGAGTCATCCATCGATGAGGTCAGTTGGCCTCGGAGTCCGATCCGCGCTGCATTGTCTATGAAGGGCACAGTGACTGTCCTTTAGACCACCAGCAAACTGGTCACAGCCCTACAGGGCTCGCCGAAGCTGTCTTGGGTACGGAATCAAGCTGCTACATCCATCTCCCACGGAGTTTCTGCTGGGGGCCAACCGCTGACCTTGCGGTACAGCCAACCACTTACCCACTGTGCTGCCGGCACTCCTCAGTCTATGAAATTCAGTGTTGTCGAGTCTATTCCCAGTCAGTGTGATCCTGTGTAGGGTTTCTGAGGAGTTGCTTGTGGTGAGCTTGAACCACTGACTATGGTTGAAATGACCTTGCAGTCTAGTACATTAACCCGTAGCTCCACACCAGGATGCCAGTCTAGTACATTAACCCACAGTCTAGTACATTAACCCACAGCTCCACACTAGGACTCCAATCTAGTACATTAACCCACAGCTCCACACCAGGACTCCAATCTGTGAAATAGAAAACCCTGAACCCATTGTTGTTGAGTTGGTTCCGGCTCAGAGCAACCCCATATGACCGAGTAGAACTGCCCCATAGGGTTTCCAAAGCTGTAACTTTACATAAGCAGATGGCTACATCTTTCTCCCACTGAGCGGCTGGTGGATTCAAACCAGCAACCTTTCAGTAGCTAAGTGCTTGACCACTGCACCACCAGGGCTCTTTCATCTATGAACTAGTGTCTGAAATAGTGCTGTGATCTGTTGGGGCAGATGTGTAGAATATAGGTCCATGTTCATAAAGATTTCCTTCAGTCCTTTCATCTAACCGGACCCCAGCGCAGCATTTCTCAAGGCTGGTGTCCCCGCAGTCACGGAGCTATGCTGCCCCATCACTTGGGCGTGCAGACCATGACTCGATAGGGCTGGAGCTCCGCCTGGTTTGGTTTTTAAAAGTATAAAGTATACTCCAGGCGGTAAGGGGTTAGCGTTGGAACTTGGCCCATAGCCCAGGACCAAAGTTGATGGAAGGGTAAGCCAGAAAGTTCTACTACTGGGGTTCCAGCTCACACATGCACAGGCTAATTGTAAATAGAAGGCATTGCAGTCAGTGTGTGGCTGTAGACAGGTTCTCTCGGGAATACACTTGTTTGGGTCTCATCCAGGCACCTGCACATAAAAGGTCCAATCAAAACCGAGGCTTCCGAGGGGCTGTCCTGGGCCAGTTCAGTTCAGGGCAGAGAGGTCAGCTCAGAAGGCTATGGCAGCTAGTTTTTATTTATTCCACAGGGGAAATCTAGGGGGCTTATCATGAAGTTTTAAGAAAATTGAGAACTGGTTTCCCCAACTCAAAAGGATATTTAAAAGGAACACGATTTGAGTCCCTTGTGGCTGTGAAAGCTGATGTTCTGAATCACGCTGCGTCAGGGAAGGCTAGAGACAGGAAACTGCTCACGGGGTTAGACCTGCTCCGAGGCTGTGCTGAGAAACAGCAGCTCCACGTTTGGAGATTTCTCTTTGGTGGCGGCTCCTTATGATTCAGCGGCAGTGCTTTTTGATAGGCCCTGGTATCAGCCACCCCTGACCTGGGTGCACATAAGTCACTGTGTCTGTCTTCTCTTGCTGTCCGCCTAGGTGGTGGTCACCAACACCGTTCCCCACGAGGTGCAGAAGCTGCAGTGCCCCAAGATAAAAACTGTGGACATCAGCCTGATTCTCTCAGAGGCGATTCGGAGAATCCACAATGGAGAGTCCATGGCCTACCTTTTCCGGAACATCACTGTGGACGATTAGCTTTCACCGAAGGTGGCCTGGACCCTGGAAACCTGTCACCGCACAGAGTCCAGTATGAACACCGTTTCCTTTCACGGGAGGACTGGAAGAGCCCGGGGTCAGATGGTATCTCTCACCAGGTCTGCTCGGAGGCAAGAAGATAGAGCCAAAATGAAGAATGCCGTGGGTACAAGCAATGCAGCCTTAAGCATCTGCCGTTGTCAGCCCTGTTCCTTAAACAAAACTCACAGATGCTTTCCTGGGAAGACTGAGGATCGGGTTGCTCCTGCCAGGGAGTTAAAGGCAGCTGTAGTCTTCTCTCTGTGCTGTTCCTTAGTTGTGTTCCCTCCAGGGAGGTGACACATGTCTGTCCCAGTTAATTTAACTTCATGTGAGTCTTGTATTAGAGAACCCTGTGTTCCTTCCAGCCAGTGCACAACAAAGTTTTGCTCATCGCGAGGATGACCAGTTAGAGAATAAATAACCTCCTGCATCCGTCTCTGTGTGGCTCTTCAGTTGAAAATAAAAGAACTTGTCTCGCTAGTCTCTTGACCCCGTGCCCGAGCTGCCTTCCCCCTGGCAGTGTAATTGGTGTAGGAGACCCTGGGTGGCTGCTGAAGGAGGTCAGCGGTGCGCTGCCCAGGAACCTCGATGTGAGTGTGGCTGCAGGGTCCCTCTCCTCACGTGACCTCATCCTTGTATGATCCTGTGTTTGTGAAAACCAAAAGGCTCCCTGTGTTTTTTCCTGTGTGGTGGGTGGCAGGCTCTGAGGCCATCCCACTTGTGTTTGTGAATAGTTTATGTCACTGAGTGGTGGTGATAGTCTGCCTACACAGCGGAACACATACCAGCTCCACAGTGCCGTCCGTACTTCCTCCAGCAGCCCTCAGACACATTTTCAGTCACATTCAGGTGAACACCACTTTGCTGCCTAAGTACCATTCCAACGCCTGCCTAGCAACCCTGTAGGATGGAGTGTCACAGCTGTCATCTCCACAGAAGCAGCTGCTGGGCTTGAACCTCAAGGTTAGCAGCTGTGTGCTTTAAACTCCTTGTTGCTTATGTTGTTAAATGCCTTCACTTACGTCTCCTAGAAACCCAATAAAGGCGGGGGTCGGTGGGAACCACTGATGTTGCAGTTAGAAGTTCATTGTTTACCCTATAGCGCCACACCAAGCTCTCCTTGTGTCTGCTCCAGCCCAAGCCAGGACCTCATGTAACAGGAAGGAGGGGGGGGAGTGTCTGCTAGGGAACAAACAGGAACCCGGGTTGGTTCTGAGAGAATAATTGGTTTGTACAATTGCGTTTCTGTGCAGGGAAACTTCCTTTACAGTCCCGCCCCATAATGAAGATTTCAAGCACACAAATAAGTCACTTCCTGTTAACACTCCAAGCATGGCAGGAAAGAGTCCTGCTTCTTATTCAGAGGTGCCAGGCAAATAAATGAGCCCCAACTTCTGGGTGGGTGTCAACAGTTGTACAAAAGAAGTTTGGAGCTGGAAACTAAAGAAGTCCTTTCCCATTGTAACTTTCCATCAATACCTTGGGTGAATGTTCTCTTCCCCATGTTTCTGAGCAGTTTTAGATGTACTTAGCAAAAACATTTAGTAAGCAGTATTAATAAGGAGCTCTGGTAGCGTAGTGGTTACGAATCGGGCTGCGAACCTTAAGGTCAGCGGTTCGAAACTACCAGCCGCTCCGCGGGAGAAAGATGAGGCTTTCTACTCCCGTAAAGATTTACACCCTCGGAAACCCTGTATAGGGTCGCTATGGGTCGGAACCGACTCGACGGCACTTAACAACAACAACAACATTAATTAGGAATAGGCATTTTTTCCTAACTTTGCTGAACACAGAATTGGGAAAGTGAGCATCCTATTTTCCCGCCCACACTGTCTCCACTGTAGCTGAAGCTCAGTCCCCAAGGGTTTAACTTTGTGACCCTTGGGATGATGAGCTTGTACAGTAAGAATAGAATTGGATACCAGCACACGCACAAAAAAGCATTTCTTTTGGTGATAGATCAGCCGATCGAAGACCTACTGTGTGCTATGGGTACTGGTGAAAACATGTTCATTCCCAACAGACAACACTCATGACCTATACATGATGGCAGAGAACAGCTCAGGAGTTACTAATGCTTTTTCTGGAAGGATAGGGGGCAGTCCCATCAACAATTTTGCCCTGTGCAGAAGCTAACGCCTGGCCAGGAAGTCTGTTTTGAGATGAGTAAATTCAGTGCCCCCAGAAGAGTGCAGTCATCAGTGACTAATTGGTGCTGCCTGGGTAGTGATTGGTCTGTTGACCTCCAATTTGATGGAACAAAGGAGTGATATGCAACCGTCCCAAGCAGCCACCATCTCAGGCCTGCATTCCTGGGTGTTCACCACTGCGGTGGCAATGGAGATGGCTCAACACGCTCCTCAACACCAGCATCCCCTTAAATCCTGAGTGGCCCCCAAGGGTGAGCGACTTGTGAGTCAGGTAGCTCAGGATGATGGACAAGTTGGAGTTCAGTTTGAACTTAGAGAAACCTCCCTCAAATCTCTGCCCCCATGCAAATGCCTTAGCCCAACTATCTTGAGAGGGCGGGGAGTGTTACTGAAAATCAGTGACCCTTGGGGTCTGGATTAAACTTCCGGATCTCATAGTGACAGGCTCCCCGTTTGAGTTTGGGGGTGGCGTTGGTCCTAGCTTTTCCTGCCCCTGGTGATATGCCTGGCAGCGGGGGGGGGGGGGGGGGGTGTTCTCAGAATCCTAGAGGCTAGCGCGAGGGCTGATCACAACCGGGAACAAACGAATGGGGCGCCCTCGTTCCAAACGTTCGCAGGTAACTGCGAGCCGCCGGAGCCCAGGGCGCGATTGCGGAGGGTCGCTGGCCCAGCGGCACCCAGGCTAGCTTCGTGCCGAGACTGTTCAGAGACTATTCACGGAGCGCAAGGAACATGGGCTGAGGTGCCGCGGGGCCTCGCAAGGTCCCCAAAAGGCCCCAGCGACGCACAGAGTGAGCGGCCAGACGCATCTCCCAGCGCGGGTGCGGACCGCTCCGCAGAGGGCACACGCTGCCACCGCTCATGGCGGCCACCACGGTCTCCCTCCGGGAATTGGCTGACCTAGCCATCGGCACTCCCGAGGTGGGCGCCGTCAACTTCACCGCCCTCCACACTCTCATAGTGGCCATCCTCAAGAATCTCAACCTCCATGAGGCCCGGATCGACTACAAGTCCCCAACCCCAGCCTACGATGAGGCCCTGTACGACAGGCCCGCTCGGTTATCCGTCAGCGTCCCCCAACTGGTCACGTCCAAGGAAAAAAGGAAAAGCATCAGCAAAACATCTTCCCAGGCGCTGGAGAATCAAGTGAAGGACCTCGACAGGCAGGTCAGGAACATGGAGTCCCAGATTCAAGGCATTGTCAGTCACGTGCAGTTGCTCACCTCCCGCGTGACAGATTTTGACTCGGACACCCCAGATTGGCTCCACGAGCCGACGGTGGCCACGAGGGGGCTTGAGAGAAGCGGGGCCACCTTGATGCCTGACAAGAAGTTGATGACCACATCTGGGCCCCAGAAGAAGGTCACGGGGGTGCCTGAGAAGAAGCCGACCACGATGATGATGGAAAAACTGCAAAGAGAGCAACTGAGAATCATGCAAGATAACAAGGACAGTGAAGTCACCATCACCGAGGTGTGTGAGAGGGGCCCAGACATGCAGGCTCGAACCTGCTCCCAAGCCCTGGCTGTAGCTTACCCCCCTCACACGCCCCACTACCTTAGGTGTCCTATGGCCTCTGAAGGGCACTGGGGCAACAAGACTGCAGCTCTCTGCCACCTAGCCCCACGTGCCCACCCTCTGCCTTGCAGGCTTTGGGACTGCTCCAGCATGCCCTCCAAGATGTATATATCTTAAAGGAAGCCCACGAAAAGGCACAGGAGCCCCCCGAGATGAGCACCCAGGTGAGGGTCCCTGGCCCCTCCCCATGCCGTCCCTCCAGCCCGGTTTACACGTGGTTCCTCACAATTACACACCTTCAAGGGTTTCAAACTGACCCGGAATCAGAAAGTTCTAGGAGTGGAAGTTCTTTCTGGGAGGATAGAGAACTAAGGTGGGGGTGGGGGGGGGGGTGTTGAGAGGTGAAGCACAGTCCACAAGGAGGAGACCTGATTGGCAGCCTGTCCACCAGCCAGCTCCCCAAGGTCACGGGTAGCCACAGTAAAGGTTGTTCTCTGGGAGGGAGAAGGACACATCGCTTGCCGAAGCGTTCTGAACTGAACAGTTGGAAACAAAGGGTGTTCGTAGAAGAGTGCTCCTTGTCCAGACCACTAGGTCCACAGAGAGGGTTCGGGCCCAGAGGACAACTCAAAGGAACAAGAATGAAAGCCATAGGGGAGGGGAGACGCGGGAACAAGACCCACCCCAGGCTTTGTTCTGAGAAGCAGAGCTGCTTTGCCTTTCACACTTGAAAGTGTGATGAATTGTTTTAGACCTAGGCTTGGTTTACCTTTAGCTATGGTGAACATATACGAGGAGGCTTCAGAAAGTTCATGGGGAAATGCCACTATGGTTTCATTCCATTGTTTCACTAACTTTTTGAAGGTCCCCTCCTACAAAACAAAATACACAGCGTCTCCAGACTTCCCATGAGTTCAACTTAGCGACATCGGTGGCGCTCCTCAAGGTGGCCCGCATCCTCTCCTCCATCCCATAGACTGGGTTCTTTGGAGATGCTTCAGCCCCTGCCCCCA